TTTTAATTTATACCCCTTATTAATTTCAATAAAATTGATAACACAAGGGTTAATATTAAATTCATATTCCAAAAAAGGGTTCCATTAAAAACAAATGTTTAAATTTACAAAAAAATTTTCGTATAATTTTACATCATGTCAACGATAAAGAAGATATTTTGGAAGGCGAGTTAAAATAAAAACAAAAAAAATTCAAGATATTGCAACTATTCCCGGTCTAGAGATTTGTCGAATAAGATTTGCCCCCGGTTGGCCTCCTCCTGGAGTTGGCTTCCGTCGTTTTTAAGCCCAAGCCTTTCTGTCTGTTGGCGTGTAAACCACGAACTGTCCGTCAGGAAGGGGGAAATTGAAAACTTAAAACTTCATATATGGTTTTAAACTCATTGAGAAGGGAAGTTGTTGTGCAGAAAATATAAAAACCTATCCATTGCAAAATAACTAAGTTTATTATTCCTTTGCAATTTTTCATTACTTTTATTTTGAAATTTGGCATAACTGAAAATGTTGGGCATATTAGAACAAAATCTCTTTTGCAATTTATAAGTTATTTATTTTTCTTTATTCCTCATATTGAAATTTTTAGTTGAGAATGTCACTATAAAAAACATTGCACACAAAAATTTGAAAATTCACACTATATTTTCTCACTTTAATACTCTCTTTTTATATAATGCATATTGTTTACGAATTTTCTCTCTACAAACGTAGAAGAACAGTATGCCTGGATAAACAAAAAATTGTTATGAGGGGCAAAACGCGAGAATAAATTGTAATGTCCAGCAAAAGCTGTCCCTAAAGAAAAATATTTTTGAATAAATATGAATATGTGTATCTGACTTATACGACAATTAAACACTCAAAGATTATGTAAAAAAATAAGAATTCAATGTAATTAAAAATAAATGTAAGGTCTTTTTAAAAATATAAAACAATAGAAAAATACTAGGGGGAATTATAACAATAGAAATATACCGGGAATTCCGTGGGCCTTAATTTCAAATCGGGGAAAACAAAATTCAAATTTTATTTTAAAAATTGGGGCCCAATTGTTTAATGGGGAATTGGGGTTTTATTAGGGGATTTTAATAAAATTGGGTTCAAAATTCCCTTTCAAACATTCATCAAAGCCCTGAACAAATTTTTTTGGGGTAAATTTTTTAGGAAAAACATTTTTGAACCCCTCAAAATTTGGGGGGAAATAAGATTCCTTAAATTGGGATACTTTTAAAAATTTGGGAAAGGGGCCCCAATTTGGTAAAATGGGAAGTCCCCCAAAAATTTTTAGGCATTTTGGCATTCAAAGTAAGAACTAAATGATTGGAAAATAGTTTTTTTTGGGGCCCGTCACAGTTTGTTTCCCAGAGGGTTTAACCTTTCTTAAAAATGTTTGAGTTTTAAAAAAATAAAACTTCTTTGTAAACCCTTTAAAAAATTTTATTTAATAAATTTTAAAAAACAAAATTGTCGACCTGTTTGAACACGCAAATCATTTGCATTCTCTTTAATGTTGACAGAATATATACAGCGTCCCCCTTAAAAACAATGCTTTCCTTTGTCTCATAATTTGAACAACCTGTGAATCTTCCCGACAAAATGTAAATGTACAAAGTTACATGAGGTTCTACAGCCTTTTTTTACCGTTTGAACGCCAGCACCCTACATAACATAAGTACTCCAACAGTTGTTAACAGGGTTCAAACTGTCCGGTAAGCTCAATATGCAAGGCGTTGGATTGTGAATCGTGCGATCAGTGTTCGTTCCTGGACTTGTATGTAGCGTTTGGGCGAGAAGCGGTCATATGGCCGTTTGTAGAAAATGATATTGACTTTTACATTTGTTGTAAGCCGTTCTGTAAATGCTAGAGCAGATGTTCAGTGGAGTTTATTATCAATCATAAATTATTATTGTCATCACAACTTTCGTTTTCAAAATAATCATTGTCATCACATACCATCATCTAATCTTATCATCATCAAAATCATATTTATCATCGCTTCCATCATCATTGTCACCGTTTCATTTCAAAAAGTCGGATGCATATGTCCTTTTTATTGTATTTTTTGCAAAGAATGAGGAACGAAGTTTTTGTTGAAGGTTGATTGTAACGATGATAATAATTTGGTTATAATGGGGGTGATAATGGTTATGAATATGTATATTGTGAAAACAATCATGTATATATATTAGAAACACAGACGAAGCCAAAATACTTATAACATTGCTTATTCTTAAGAGCTTTACCCTGATAATTTTGTTTCTTGAATAAAATTCCCTTTTGTTTGGAACATTGTTGCATGGGGTCGACGAATAAAACTGTCCAGATAACTGTATTCGTTGGGAGCTTTATACGGCACAACAGAGCCTGATACATTTCTGAAACACTATTTATTATAAAAAATATTAAAAGGCAACAAAATGATTGTGTAGTGAATGACGTTGGATTTGGCTGATTAACCCTTACCAACAAATAAGACCATATTAGGTTAGGTAATAAAGAGCCACCAAATTAGAAGTTAACCATGTAAAGGCCAATATGAATGTATACGGTCATGTAATTGTTTCAATGATGAAATAATATAGATATAAATTATGAGATTTTTATTCATTGTTGAGTTAAATACTGAATTCAATTCGGGGTCACAATTATCAAACCTGCTAGTCAAAACACTTGCTGAATCTAATATATGCGTTGCAGCTGTGTATTGAACCGATTATGAATAATCATGCTATCTTTATTCCACATTCAATTGATGAAAGTGTGCACATTTTGACAGAATTTTGTTACTTCGAGAATTTAAGGGTTTGATATGAATTATTTGGACTCTGAAAATGAAAACGAAACTAGACGGAGAACAATTAAGATTTGATATTGATGTTTTTTCTCGGAAAATAAAAACGAGGATAAAACATAAAACAATACATTTTGTGTGATAAATGATTGTTTTCTTTTTTCCATCAAAAACGGATTTGTTTTTATAAGCTATTGAAGCACGTGAGCAGTGTGGTGACGTTCTTATTCGGAAAAGAACGTCAAAGAAAATAGCATGTAAATTTTTTAATGATTTCAGTTTTAATTTGATTTAGCTTTATTCAATGAGTCATTAGCTACTAAAAGTTAACCTATTTTTCAGGCTATTTCAAAATAGGGGTTTTGAGTCATGGCTGGAGACTGAATTTCGTGACTAACTTATAATCGATGGAATAGATCAAATCTTCATCGTACACTCATTTCTCACACTTAAGATAAAACACCCCGTAAGTTGTTATGACATGAAGTAGGGTTCATTTTTTTTAATTGTGCCACAAATTTAGAGCTGTACTTTTCACCTATTTTTAAGCAATCGTGATTAACATTTCGCTATAATAATAGTGTCAGATTATTAAATTTGTATAAGACATATTTTAATATTACATTTTATGCCGATATCGTGACATACCTAAAACATATACCTAATTAATATTCACATGGACAAATGACTCATTTAATCTATTGCATCCATGAAGCAGAACTATATTGTCCACGTGAGTCATATTCTGCTTATAAGGTACGAACGCTTATATAAGTTATATTATACCGATATATTGTTGGAACAATCTTATAATGAATCGAATTAAATTCACACGAGCTATATATCAATACAAATTACCAAGTAGAGAAATATATATTTCCCCTCGTTGTAATAAGGAATTTTACGCTTTGGTGAAATAGCCTAAAAACATTAGCAACTACCGGATAATATAGGTTTATCTTTTCGAACAATACTATATCTGCACTTCTTTGTTGTATTTTGTTGCAATACCTTAGGGTAATGAAATACGATGGCACTATAATAAAAAGATTATCAATATTTAAAAGTTACTTGTTTTTACTAATCAATGGTTTCATCAGAATAGGAACTTATTTAAGTATGTTCTTGTAACTGCAAGAGGTATCAGAGGTTTCTATTTGAAAGATCTTGGTGTTCTGTTTTTCACGGGGCGATTTTTCAGTGCTATTAAAATTAACCTAAGTATTTAAGATAGGTGTAACTAGTTAATACGGAGAAATACAGATACTTTTAAGATAATTTCCGACATTCTCTTTTATTAATGGTGGCAATAATCTTCTCCTGAATTACTGTGCAACACAAAGGCATAATAAGGTTGGAATTTACAGATTATCTGAAAGCATGAATAAATTGTGAGGAATCACGTAGGGAAAATTGAAAAAAATAAATCTTATGATAGGTTTGAAATTATATTATCATAATATTCACTTTGAGCTGATCAAATATAAATTTATTTATAAATCAGTAATACACCCAAAAACATATTTAAAGAGAAACATATCATTTTCAGTTCATAAAGTTAAAAAATGTTATATTCAACAATCAAAAATATGCACGTATAAAAATCAATAAAAATCAATGAATCAATACTTGTCGTGTGTTGCAGGTTGGATCGGAATATTCATTCCAAGGATACCCGCCATCGGGCGATAAAGAGGATATCAAAAATAGGTGGCGGGTACCCGTTTGGGTTGGATTTTCAAATCTGAGACGCAAATACATACAGATATTTTTCTTGCATACTCTATCACATATTAAGATGTTTTACCTCAATAATGTCATGTAAGTAATGTCATTTTCTTTTAATCTAAATTTTTACACATGCGTATTAATTTACAACTTCATTCACAACGGCAAAATGTAATAAACCTATGCACGCGGTTTCGTTCTGGAATGCGAAAAAATGAAGTACTTACGGAGCACGCAACTCACCAAACACACTTATGACAGATAAAATGTGCAACATAAGTGAATCCAAAGGTAACACCAGTGAAATATGCAAGAAAATTAAATTTGAAACATTCCTACGTCAGCAAATACATTTGTTATGTACTGTTACAAAGACTTTTTGGTTAACATACCCTCATATAAATTGCGCAACTATTTATACAATTCAATATCCACCAATACAACAAAATACAAAAAAAAACAAAAAAAACAGGAGAAAACAAAACTTATTTTTGAAACTTAATTGGCCTCCACCAAAACACAAATAATACGTCTTTGAACTTAAATTAAAATCTATTTTGCACACAGGTCTACAGTTTGTCATACATACATTCATAGTCACATTCATACAACACACAAAATAAGACAGTACATGCATTAAAGAAATTTGTGTATTATTATGTTTTTATGTCAAAAATCAAAAAATCATTTTTTACCTGTCAGACTATTTTTAACTTTACTGCATATCAAAAGAAAAGTAAAATATTTTTGTGTCTTATCGTCTCTCTTATTTTGTAAACATATAACATAACCAATACAATTGCTTATCATGAACAGTGCTGTAAAGAGGTCAAAATGAAACTTTGTATGTCAGTGCCAGACGATGAACATTGCACATTGAAGGAACGTACAGCTGTAACGTTCCAGTTCTTTAAGTAGGACATTTCACATGAGCATGGAATAGGAGGTATATCAAAATAACTCAACTGTGGAAGAGACATTACAGCAGCTGGGATAGTTTTAAGGTTTGTACCGGACAAATAGAGGGATGACAGCGCCTTGTTGTTTCTAAAAGCATTTGTCGATACGTATATAATGGGATTATTTAGCAAAATCAGCGTTTGTAGGCTTAAAAGACCACTTAGATCGTGATCTTCAACAGACACAATATCATTACGTCGTAAATCAAGATTACCTAGCCGTTTCATTTTGTTCAAGGCGTTAGGAATTCTCTTGAACCTATTTGAATCTAAGTCAATATGTGTCAAAATTGTATTTGACGGAATAATTTCTGATTCAATAATTTCAAGATTGTTTACGTAAAGATATAACGAAGTCACAGTCGGAAAAATATGAAACACATCAGGGAAATGCGTCAGCTTATTATTATCCAGATTCAAAGAAGTTAACTTACTTAATCTTCTCGTGCAGTGATCAAATAACGAAGTGGTATTTTTATCTAATTTAGAGAAATATTTTATAGTTAAAGTCTGCAAATTCAAGAGATGACATACGACATTCGGTACTTTGTCAAAGTATGAAGCATGTTGCATATCAAGACTTGTAAGAGAGTTTTCGAAACGTTGAAACGCTTCCGAATTTATATGTTGAAAATTTAAGTTATTAAGTGTAAGTGATTTTAATTCTTTGAACGAACTTAGTTCATCTGGCCAGGAAGCGAACTCGTTTAAATCTATGTTAAGTACTTCAAGTGTATTTTCGATTTGTGATTGGGTAGAGAAACCTAAGGCCTTGATAGGGTTATCTTGAATATACAATTCTTTAAGAGCTGGATGGTTATATAATGCCGCAGGAATACTCGTTAGGTTATTATTTTGCAGCCTCAATATTGTTGTTATATTTTCAACCCCACGAAACGCGTATCTATCAATGGAAGATATCTTATTATTATTTAGAGAAAAATCTATTTTTGTCGCATTCACTGCACTTAGGTTTTGGAAAGCATAGTTAGGTATAGTTGTCAGTTGGTTGCTATACAGATAAACAGTCAACGTTGACACATGTCTATCAGCTTTCTGAAAGTGTGGTGTTGCATTGAGACTCTTGCTCTCACAATGGATATAGGCGTATGAAGATCCTGACCCCGAACACGTGCAAGGCGCAGGTGCTAGACAACTATCACCTAACAGGAAGCTATCACAACATGACACCAGTGCTGCAAAACTGAAAATCTGAAATAATCAAAATTACATTTTTTTAAAAAAAATCTAAATATTGCAGTAATAAATTTATAATTGACAAATGTACGGAGATCCGTATTTATTTATTTTTCTTGCCTCTAAGTACTTTTAAGTCTGATTTATTTGATAAAAAACATTTACTTTACGGAGCGAATGTTTTGCAGTTTTGTTTCAATACAAGTGCCACTCTGATTGATATTACATCTTTCAGATTATTACGCTTTATGGTAAAATGTTGGTCTTCGATTCATTTTATCAGTTATCTTCCCACGAAACTGACGTTTTTGTACATTTGAAGGACATGTTATTTATGTATCTGCTTTTTGTGTTGTTAACTTCCTTTAAAGTAATTGTGCAAAATTAAAGAAAGATGGTTAAAAGCGGTTTTCTGATTCTCTTTTTTCCTTAAAAATATACAAATATATTCTTTAAATATTCTTTAAATATGCATATTTTGTATATTTTAAGCCTCTGTCATAACAAAAAAACAACTTAAAGATAGTTTTCGGCATTGAAGAAATTTTATTTGAATTTTTGTATTTTGACGAACAGTTAAATGAAAAACCTAAGCAATATGAAAAAGATCACTCCTTTTGTTAAATTATCTTTTACTTTGTACCTGCCCATGAAATAACCTAATTAAGCAAATAGAATTAAAGGAAAGAAAGGTATTACTATCAACAGCCATCATTTTGTTTAAATGTCTAAATAGACACTGAGGCAAATAATTTTAACCTATTACTTTGTTAATGTTATCGGAAATAGTGACTTAATACATTACATGTTACATTTACATTTATTAATCGGACTGATCTATTAATAAATTATTCGGTATCATGTTATTTAAGATGTCACCAAACTTAATTTTAACAAATGACCTTGATCTTTATCTAAAGAACTGTACTGAAACAGTTATATTCATACCATATCATTTCTCATTCAAAGAGTCAAAAATCATACTTATTATCGTCTCTTTAACTCTACCGGGACGGCAAAATGTTATTTTTTTGTTAATATCAAAACGAAAGTACGTATTATGAAAGAAATTCAAAGAATCCTACTTAAGCCTTATTCCGCTCAATATCTTTTTATTTTGTTTTGTTGTCATTTGTTATTCAAAATATATATCTAACAATGCTCCATGTCGACCTTTAATCACTCATCTTAAGATATAATGACAGGAATAATATTTTATTGCTCTGTAAATCATTACTATTTGGTTGATTTTTTAAA